TGCCCTTCTTAAAACTCTCCAAAACCATCTTATTAAATTACCGTGGCCTATAAAGAAGCTGGATCTTGGCTTGCTTCTGCCATTACCTTTCTCATTCACTACACAACAGTCCCACTGGTCTTTCCATCCACCTCTCAGACACACTGAGGCCATTCTTGTCTTAGAGCCCCTGCTCTGGCTGGTCCTTCTCCAGGGAAGATTCCTCCCTCTGCTCAGAGCAGTGACTCCTTGCTCCTCATTCAGGTCTCACTGGAAATGTAACTCTATTTCAAAGAGCAACTTCTTTACACACACACACACACTCTCAAACTACCTCTCTAGCCCCAAACCCTACTTTATTTTCTTCATAACTCTCATTGTTATTGGAATATTTTTATTTGTGCATATACACACATATCTTACATATGTGTATATACATACATACACAAAGTATAAAGATTTCTACTGGAACATAAGTTTAATAAAAGCAGAAACATTATCTTCTTTCAACTATAGTTTCTATCCCTGGAAAGGCGTTGATAGACTGTAGGTGGTCAAAATGCATCCACTGAATGAATGCAAATGCCAGCTTTAGCCCTTAGCACACTAAAGGTGTTCAAAGAATGCTACCTTCCATTTTGTTTCCCTTCTACTGTCTTCGTCATGTCTGAGAAAATGTAAAATGTCCTTGAAACTAAAGCTCTGATTTTTTTCAGTCTTCCCTCAACACCAGTGTTCCACATGTATGAACTGGTCTGAGAGGCGATGTCATCCATTAGCAGTCTGGGACAGATGGAAATGAGTTAGAAGCAAATGGAAAGCTTTGATATCTATCTAGTCCTACCTAAATGGGATATTAATTTCGAGACTTTGTTTTCCTACATGATTTTGGACTTTTAGATTATCAGATGTCTTCATAATCAAAGTAAATCCATTTCAGAATAAAATGCAAATTGTTCTTTGAGGATCTCCTGCTTGGGATGAGCTGCTTTGCCCTCTTTTGTCATGCATGTTTCAAAGTCAGCTGCCAAGGCAAACTTACAGATAAGTACAAAAGAAAATTAACAGCTTATATTTCCCCTGGCTACATACCCTGCATTACACAGATAAAAAAATCCACTGGCACAGTATACCTCATAGTTGATCCACATGGATAATTTTTGCTTCTAATACTAGAGTATATGACAATATGCCAGGACCTGTGCATATCCATATGAGTGGGTAGTTTTGCATGTGAACTTATATGTGCAAATAAAATGTTTTTTTCAAATTAAAAATAAACCTCAAAGGCAATGAACTACAAACTGTTTGTTAATGAAACTGAGAAAGGACACAAGAATGTGTTAAACTCTGCCATTTAGAATAAATGTGACAGTTGGTTCCAGTGATCTCCATTTTCATTTTGCTGCACTGCTCTCACCATTCTATAGAAAATAGATTCTTGTCTCAAAGAGGGAAAATACAAAAAAGACATCTATTCTCTTAAGATTAAATTTGTCCTTTTCTCATCCACCAGATGTGAACAGGAATTAGAAAGTAGCATAGAAGAGGATAGTTTAAAAAATAAAAAGGAAGGAAAGAGGGATCCATTCATATTTAGGAAGTCAAAGAAAAACACTGCAATTCTGTTAGCACCCGGAAGGCACCATTTACTATGTGCTGTCTCCTTCACTGAAAGAGGACACAGATTGTATTTTTAGTGCAGTAAACAGTAGATTCTACTGCAGGAATCCTTGCTGTTGGTACCTACAGCAACCTCATTTAAAATGCTAAAAAGCTTTAAAACATCAGAAATTTAAGGCAGTCAGGCATATATACCTCCCCGTATACATCCGGTCACTCACACACAAACTCATTATTGTCCACAAATTGATAATAAATGGTATGTAATAGTATAATCCCTGACAGAGTTTACCACTGAATCATGTTTCACAGCCAAGACAGAGAGTGATGAAAATAAAACATACAGTAATGCAACCATGAGCAAGAGCATGTTTGTGCCTAAACAGTGTATTTATTTTACCACATGGTAAGCAACCACCCAGGAGTTCATCAAAAGAACATCACTATTCACACATGGAAGATTTGACAGATATTTTAGAGCTCCTGTTTGTAACAGACATTTTCAGTGCTACACCCATATGTTTTGGCACTCACCTTCACAAAGCAAAGACTTCTACAAAACCTACAGAGAAAGGTTTTTCCTGACCACAGAAAAGAAAACAATTGCCCTGTGTTCAGGAAAAGTCAAGGGGCTGGAGAGTTATTGTCCCCAGTAGTATCCCTCGGTCAGAGATGAAAAGGGATTTGAAGTATAAATACTTTAGCTTCTTCATGGCTTAGCTGGGATAATTTGGGGTAATGTTCCCACGGTCTCCTGGAGTTCCCCCACCAGACCTGAGCTCCAGCTTTCCATAGCAGTAACTGGTTCGATGACACAAACTTTACTGGCTTTATTCCTTTCCCTATCTCTGCCACTTCTCTACTTTCCTGAGTTCACCCCTCCTCACACACACACACACACATAAACTACTTGGAATCTAAAACCTCTATCAGGGTCTGCTTTTGGAGCAATCCAATTAAGACACTATCCTCAGCTCTTATTCTTTTGTGAAATGTAATTTTTCATTAAATACCCTGGGACATGTATCCCCTGTTACTAATTCCACAGAAACGTGATCCTCACCAAAAACCACAAGTTTAGAAAAAACTCACAATTATTCACGTGTTTATTTTAAAGTATAAGGCTGTGTTCTCTATAGCATAAACACCTGTAACAGAAAGCTAATTAAGTAAATTTAGCAGTAAATAGGAGACTAGTTGCCTATCTTTTTTTATCTTTTACTACTCTGCACATATTTTCTCAATATATACTTTTCCCTCTACTTCATTCTTCTGTGCAAAATGTATTTGATGGTTATATTTGACAGATGTAACCAATATATCAAAATGAATATTTACTCCGCATGTTCCATACACTTAGCACTGACTTTTTAAAACCTATACTGTAATCTCCACAGCTTGTCACTCTATTGCAAAGATAAGCTTTCGACCTATGAAAAAATTTGAGAGAAATATGAAAGAGTATTGAAGCATGAAATTGTATGGTAATTAAAAGACTTACGTAAAACTTCTCTAATGACAAATGGCATAAAGTAGTAGTAGTTCAAATGGAAGAAAATGGAAACGAGTAAAAAGACACCTAGAAACTTCTTGATTCCAGGATTCCACATTATAGATAAATCCTTAAACCAATGACCTGAAGGCCTTTATTTCTTCTGTACATTCTTGAATGGTTTGGGGCAAAGAGCATTAATAATCTTGGTTATCAATAATTCATTCATTTGATCAGTTCATCAATTAATATATGTTGAGCATTCCCAAAATATATAACAATAAACAGGACAAAATTCTTGCCTTCATCAAATTTGCACCCTAAACTGGTAAATGGTAACTCAACAAGTAAGGAAGTACATTTATAATATAATTTCAAGTACTGGAACTCTGACAAAAAAAATAAGCAGACTTAGCAGGGCTAGCGAATAGTGGAGGAATATTTATTTTTGTTGTGTGGTCAAGGATGGCTTCTCTGAGGAGTTATCATTTGAACAGAAGTGAGGACAGGATTTTTCTGGCAGAATAAATAGCCAATGCAAAGGACCTGAAGCAGGGATAAGCTTACCATGTGAAAATAAAAATAAGACAATAATGAGTAAGTAAAAAGGGTATCACAGAAGATGAAGTGAGAGAAGTAGTCAGGAATCAGATACTACAAGATTTATAAGCATGTAGTTTGGATTTTCTTCTGAGGGGGATAGAAAGTCATTAGAAAGTCAGAAGATCATTCTGGCTATCACTGAAAACTAGACTATAGGGTACAGGAGTGGAAGAAAGAAGATCTTTTAGAAGAATATTCCTTTGTCAGGTGAAGATGATGATGGTTAGAAGTGGGAGAATTTGGATTAGGAAAAAGAAAAATAAATTATCACTCATTTTTTTTAACTTAAATAACCTCATGGATGATGGTACCAATTATTGGGGTAGAGTCGGCTAGGCAAGAAGCAGATTGTGAATGGGGGCAGAAATCAAGAATTTCATTTGGGGTATATAGAGTCTGAGATGCCAATTATACTTCCCAGTGAAGTCAGTTGGATATAACAGACCAAAGTTCAGAGTTGAGTCAGGCTGCAGATATAAATTGGAAGTCATCAGCATTAAATGATATTTCAACCTTGAATGTGGGAGTAAGATTGAGGAGAGAATAAAATAGATCTGAGGACGTACTCCTGGGACATTTATACATTCAGAACTTAAAAAGGGAAAGAAAGACTAAAAGAGAAATCTGAAGAATCAATCATTGAAGTAGGAAGAAAGCTGGGGAAATTCTTTAGATTTACTTGTAGCAAGTTCTACCTGAACTCAAATTAAAACTCAGAGTCTCACTGTTTGTGGAAGTAGGACAGTGATCTCTCTAGGGGTCCAGTTATAAAAAATGATAGCTAAATGAGCTTTGGTTATATAAGCAAGAAGAAAAAGGAATTTTGATGACAGCCCCTGCCCCAGGGGACAATTAGAAGATGAAGAAAAGGAAGGCAAACTGTATGCCATGTACTTTGCCTCCCTCTCCAGATGCAGCCCTTTAGTCCTTATGGAAGAGAAAGATTAGTTAGAAGCCAGAGGACCTGATTCCAGGGCTGACACTGTGAAATGCTGAGCACCGAGAGTGCTGCTTCAGGCCCAAGTGACCAAGTTAGCTCTGTGCACAGAGATGGTGCTGAGAGTCTGTACCTCTGACATAGACATATACAATCTCATGGCAGCCACAGGAGTGATCATGACGTTTCTTAATCACTCAGCATTCCAATGATAAACGTGAGCTGAATAATGTATTAGCACAAATTTCAATGCTAGAATTCAATTCCTCTCTAGAATGTTTTGTCCTCACTAGACAACACAGCCGAAACAGCTCCTTGGCATGCATGTTCCCTCTAATGGAAGCATCGACTTTCGATATAACTGACCTGTGTTGAAGAAGGATCCAGTCCATTCAGCCTCAGTTTTAGGAAATACCGAAACTGGTGGAGGTAGACCCAGGGCTCTGCCATCCAGATCCTTAAAGAGAAACTTTCTTGGACTTTCACAATCTGATTCAGGGCAAACAAGTGTTTCTAAATCTTTCCTATGAAGATAGATACAGAGTAACTCTCATTTCATGATAAACAACACAAAGAAAACATTGGTATTACTGATCTGATGAAAACTAAATTCAACATGATTTTATTATTATTAATGTGCTACAGAAAGATGAAATAAAACTGTATAGAAAATGTCAGTTCCCAATTATATGGTTAAAAAGAAAGACAGTAGTATTATTAACCAAATATTCTAGATATACAGTCTTTACATAGAGTGCTAATTTTCTAAAAAGCAAGATACAATAACTCCTAATTCTAATATCTACCGAAAATAATGTAATCTCTCCTTTGTGGAACTTTGGAGAATTGCAGTATTTTAAGATTATCAATATAAACATCAATTATATTTGCACTACATACAAACAAGATAAAAAGAGATATTATCATTTAACAAATATCCATTGAAAATCTACTACTTACAGACTGAGAAATACAAAGGTGATAAATATATACATGGTTTCTATACTCTCAGAATTTAGAGTCAGGCAGGGTATATAAACAAGCAATAGGCAATTATAACATTGAATTATAGCACATTTATTTGATTTCCCCGATCTAATACTTTTAGGTACCATTAGTAATAATATTAAATATTTATTGCATGCCAAGTATGTGTTCAGTATTACTAATACAAGGAATTAGATGCTAATATCATTTAGCTTTATAACTATTTCATTCCATAGGTAAGGCATGAACATAAGGAAAGTTGGACAGTAGAAGAAAAAGGACAGAACAATCCAAATTGCATACCTAATTATGTTTACATACCAAGAGTGGCTCAGGATGGGCATCTTGTAGAGAATGGTGCTGGACCAAACACATAAACTTTCCAATTAGGGTGATTTTTCTTAATTCTTTTCTTCCAACTAAAGTTTTCTCCAGTGTTGTGGGGAAGAAACAGTAGCCCAACTTCCCTGCTCCTGACCTTCCCACTCCTTTTTATGGGAAAAATAATGCCTTATCTAGTTTTCAGATTCTTGAACAAAACTCTCAGATCATATTTCAAGAATAGTAGTCACACCTTGTCTGAGTGCCGATATCTGTCTAAGCCACATCACTGAATTCAGGGATTTCTGACAGTAGACATGGTCTCCTTCTCCCCACTAGTCCCTGCACAAGGGCTCCCAATCTTCCTTTCGAAGACTAGTGACATCATACTTTATGGAAGATTCAAGAATTAAGGTCAATTTTTTCCAGTGATTGAAAACATTCTAAAGAAATGTCTCTTTCAAAGACAAAACAATAAAACAATATCAATAAAACTTGCACTCCACAACTTCTGCCCTTTTTATTAGTCAAAGTCACATGGCTGAGCCCATAGTCAAGAGAGAGAAATAACCTCTGCCTCTTTAGTGAAAGAGATTGCAAAAGTCATATATCAAAGCACATGAACATAGGAAGGGTAAAGAATTGAGGCCATTCAATTGATCTACCATAACTTTCCAGGACTTACTTCTATTTCCACTGATGATTTTATTCTTTTTAAAAACACATTGAAGGATTTGAAGACTTGCCAAATACTTCATAGATACGGCTTATTATAAATACTGAAACTGGTACCTGCTTGGTAAAGGAGGAAAGTAGAACTTGTTTTTATCTTTGATCTTTAGCATCTTGGTCCTCTCTGCTGTTATGGGATGAATGATTCCAGTGTTCTCTGCAGAGGGCAGAATGCAGACATCTAGGTCATCACTATAGCAACTCTTCACAAAACTAGAAAAGGTGACACCTGAAAAAAATTTTTATAGAGATATCATAACATTAGATCATGTAAACTACCAACCACAAATATAAACTACACAATTAAATACTCTTTTATTAATGTATGTTCAGGATTCAGTTTAAACTATCTGGGATGATTCCAGGAGTTTAAATAAATATTGACTTAAAATATCTGTAATTCTTCAAGATATGGACATTGTTCATAAAAATCTAATACAGTAATATCTTAAGAGCAATACTTTTTATCAAAGATTTGATTTAAATCCAATGAAGTGTGAATATATTAGTCTAAAAGAGGTCTGATAGAAGATTAACTGCATAGGTTGTGGTATAACTGATTTTATTCCTGGTTGCCCCACCAACTACTAAACCTCAATGAGGAACAATTTCTGCATCTAAATTTCCTCCTTTGTATAACAGGGGAAAAAAAAACAAAACACCTAAGAGAACTGTCATATAATCAAATTAAATTGATGTGAAAGCTCTTCAACATGTACAAAGCAGTAACTTTTTAAAGGAATCACTCACTGTCACTATAAGCCATCATTGTGATTATTAATACACAGCAGGTGGTCAATTGGATACCAAGCACTGGATTACAATGTACCTTTCTGTTGATATAATCTCAGAATAGAACAAAAAAGTTCTATGCACAGATGTATGAAACTACATTGTTTGGATAAGCCCAAACATCTTACCTTGAAGTTTCATAATTCCTGAAATTGCATGGCTTTTTCTCACTTTGTGCCATGGTTCCTGAGGCCACCGATTTGGTTCTGAGGTGAATATAGGCCACAGAATACCAACTCGACCCCCTCTTGGGTTAGAAGGAGCTCGGTCTGTTAAGGTCAAGTTGGCAGAGCAAGGCTTAACCCTATCCTGAATGCAGTCAAAAGAGGAGCTAGTGGCCACAATGACTGAGTTCCTAAGCACAATCTGCACATTTTCAATGGGACTCTGTTGAACAGAAGACACATATACTATCACCAAAAGACCAATAACGTTGTCCACCAGAGTGATGTTCTCTATCTCTATGCTGTTCTCCACATGCAGCATGGCACCGTAGTCAAAGTTCTTGAAAGCCAAAAAGCCAGAGATACTAGTACAGTTGTCAAGTTCACTTTCCTTATACAGATGAAGGCCATGAAGGCTTGAGTGGGCCACATTGTCAGACCAAAGGGCTTCAAGAGAGGAACATCTCTGGCCTCGGATGTGAAAGCCAAGTCTCTCTGATCCTGCCACAATGTTGCCACGGAGATTGATGTCTTTTGCCTGGTTCACTTTGATTCCTGCCACCCAAACCGTGGACCATGCTGGCTGTGTCATCAGAACCACAAGGTTATTGGAGAGAGAATAGGCATGACCCTCTAGATCCATGCCATGTCCAGCTGTGTTAAATACTATGTTGTCTTTTAAAGTGATCCCATGATTGGACACTGCATGAATGCCCCCTCCACAGCTTTGATGCAGAGTAGAAGATATTATCCAGGATCCTGCTGACACATTAGTGAGTTCAATGGATGAAAATAATGGTGACCCAAAGTTCCGAATTTCTACATTTAAAAGTTGAAGAACACCTGCAAACAAAATGCATATCATCAGGTACTTTTTTCTTCCCCACGAAAGGCAAAGGATAGTTCATTTATGGGTACCAGAATAATCATATTTTTCATTAAAATGTAATTGCTTATTCTCAGCATCAGCATATTTCATGCCAGTGAGTATCACTAACAAAATATGAATCTTTAGAATATCACATTAATGCCTAAAAAGATTTCATGTGCAAGCTGGAGAGTCTGGTGATATGATGGGGAGAGAGGAAAGGAAAGATAAAAACAAGAGATGGGCATTGGAGATAGGCACAGCTAGCTTAAAGATTCTACGCATTTGTCTGCAGAGATAAGTCAAGGAACTAGATAAGAATGAAGGGATAAATATGGATTCCTGGGCACTCACCTCAAAGTCATATCTCCCTCTCTGTGTCTCAATGACCTCATGTGAAAAGGCCATAACCATCACTACAAAGATACTGTATGAAGGAATATAATGGCCAATTCTATAAAAACATTTTAAGCATTTCTTAAGAATATAAGTGAAAAATTTATTTCTGCTCAATTTATGTCAAGAAACATGACATTCTTTACATACTTCTTGATTTAAGAAATGGTAGAAACAATAATGCATTTTTAAAATTATTTTAAAGACCATATAAAATTTCTTCTGTATTTTAATCTTAGTCACACTATATTCTGTTTTATTTTCACAATAATTAGATTTTCTATATCTTTTATGTCAAGTGAGGTTAGTGAATTATTTAGTCTTATCAGCAATTTTATTTGGACCATTTAAAACAGATATTGTTAAAACATGGTATAAAATATATCACTAGATTGATTTAAAAATATGAGTACAAAATATGTCAGTGTGTACTCTTAGTAAAATAGTAACACAATTATATTAAAAAATGAGGTAAATTTATAACGATAATATGTAACTCATATAGCACTTACTATTTGCCAGGCACTATTATGTATATATATATATTCATATATATATATATATGAATTTATTTATCAAATATATACATTATATATATATA